CCCCCCCCCCCCCCCCAAAAACTTTTGGAGGGGGGACCGTTTTTTTTCCCTTTTGAATAAGGGGCTTTTCCCCCCCCCCCCGTTTTTTTTTTTGAATTCCCCCCCCCCCCCCCCAAAAAAAAAAACGGATTTAGTTGCTTCCCCCCCCGTGGGGCCCTTTTTTGTTTTAAAAAGGGAACCCCCGGCGGGGGAACCCGGCAAAAGGCCTCCCCGTCCCCCCGGGTGGGGGCCAAAGGAGTAAAAGTGCAAAGGGGGGGGGGCCCCAAAAAAAGGGCATTTTTTCCTTTCGGGGGGGGAGGAGGTTCCGAGGGGCAAAAATGCCCCCCCCTTTGGTTTTGGAAACAGAAAAGAGTGGTCCCCGGAAAAGGACCCGCTGGTTTTTTTGCCCCCAAAGGAGAAGGGGGTCAAGGGGGGGGCTTTTGAAAAGCCCACCCCCCCCCCCCCCCAAAAAAAAATCCGGGGGTTCTTTTGGGCGGGGTCCGCCGGTACCCCTTAGGTACCCCTGAGGCCCCCCCCCCCCCCCCCCCCCTCTGCGTGCGCGGTCAGGCGTCTCATCGCGGAGTCGATACCCGGGCGCTCGGATGACGCCGTCCGCAACCGGTGGAATCGGTTGCAGGCTCGTCCTCTCTCGCAAGCCTTTGAATCCCCCGACCCCGTCGAACACTTCATCGACCGCCCCGAGCTGGAGCCCACCTGACTCCCCCAGCCCTTCCCACCCACCCACCTCTCGCCCCCGATACCTCTAGGAGCACCAGCTCGCCTTGGCGATGCAGGCAGCGAATGTGGCTGCCGCCGCCGACGCAGGCGGCGCCGCGGCAAGAGAAGAGGCCAGCCCCGGGGGTGCGGTCTCTCCCACCTCCCCCGCGCCGGCCGTCTCCTCCGCCACAACCCCAAGCGAGGTGGTTGCGGCTACCCCGCCGCTTGCCTCCCCCTCATCCCCCGGCGCCGAGCCTGGACTCGACGTTGGCGCCGCTTCCGCCGCCGGCTCTCCCACAGATCCGGCTTCCGTCGTCAGAGGAGATTCGCAATCTCGGCACCGCTGCCGCCGGAGGGGTGGCACCGCTCCACTTCGACGGCCCTGACCGTCGGCAACGCGTGTGACCTGTAGGCCGTCGAGCCAG